TGTTTTTTTTTAATCATGTTCTGTTTTTAACATAAATTTGAAGCTCTTTGTTTAAACAGAACAAAACTGCAAGTGGTTTCCCTTGTATGCTGCTAGAATAATAGATGACCCGTTTTAGTGGGAGATGGTTTTACTTGCTTTACAAAGTTGTAATTATTTACACAAATATTTTTTTTGTTTTTATCACGTTAACGGTAGTTTTTAAAAACAAATATAAATATTAACACGACCACACAAACACTGACATCCAAATACTGCCAAATCCCCCTTCCCCCACACACTCAATAATGACATTCCCCACTCTCCCCACACACTCAATCTGACACAACTCTCTCTACACACTCAAAACTGACAGCCCCACTCCCCACACACTCAGTCCTACCCCCCCCCTGCTCCCCACACACAAAATACTGACAAAAATCCCCCCCCCCACTTAATACTGACATCATCCATTCCCCGCACACTTAATAGTGGCATCCCCTTACATTCTCAAAATTAACACCCCCACTTCCCAACCACTCAGTACTAACCCCCTACTACCCACACACTCATTACTGACATCCCACTCCCCACACATCCAATACTGACATCCCCCTTCCCCCACACACTAAATACTGACAGCCCCACTCCCCACACATTCAATACTGACATCCCCTCTCTCCACACACTCAATATTGACATACCCCACTCCCCACATACTAATCATCCATATTCCCTTACGTTGAATCCCCCCTAATATTCTACCCACCCACCAGCCCCCCCCCCCCCCACCAGCTCCCCCCCCCCCCCACCCCACCAGCGGGTATTCCCGATAGAGTTCCACCAGAAATTGATGAAATGCTCAAGTTACACCTCGAGACTTGTTGACAAGTCTGTCTGTATTCATGACCCCGCCAAGGTCAATCAAATAACGCCGTGTCCCCGACCCCTCATCCACTAACCCATGACCCCTCTTCTCCGGTAACCCCCATAACTAATCAACTTAGTGACACGTCTATAAATAGAACGGAATGACTTGTTTCGCTGAGATTTGAACACACCCGTACAACAACCACAACTGGACTGGTTGGCGGTCAATACTCATACAAGAGGTTTAGCCAAAAATAGCCACGCCCGGGTATCAGCTGTTGTTGGGGGAGGGGTCACATGATCAGCAGACGACACCGGCTAGTTTTTTGGGTCCAGGTTATCTTACACGCGAGTCACGTGTCTGTCATGTGTCATGTATGTGTTGGCGGTGTGTCGATGATGTGTTAGCAGTGTGTCATGTATGTGTTAGCAGTGTGTAGATGGTGTGTTGTGAAGGTATCCATGACTACAGGTCACTGTGTATTGTTACCATCGGGGCGGGGGGGGGGGTATAACAATTGGGGCGGGACGGGGGGTATAACAATTGGGGCGGGGCGGGTATAACAATTTGAACGGGGTGGGTATAACAATTGGGGCGGGGCGGGTATAACAATTTGAACGGGGTGGGTATAACAATTGGGGCGGGGTGGGTATAACAATTTGGAAGGGGTGGGTATACAATTGGGGCGGGGTGGGTATACAATTGGGGTGGGGTGGGTATTACAATTGGGGCGGGGCGGGTATAACAGTTGGGGCGGGGTGGGTATAACAAAGGGGGCGGGGTGGGTATACAATTGGGGCGGGGTGGGTATACAATTTGGGCGGGGTGGGTATACAATTTGGGCGGGGTGGGTATAACAATTGGGGCGGGGTGGGTATAACAATTGGGGCGGGGTGGGTATAACAATTGGGGCGGGGTGGGTATAACAATTGGGGCGGGGTGGGTATAACAATTGGGGCGGGGTGGGTATAACAATTGGGGCGGGGAGTGTAACATAATCGGGGCGGGGCGGGTGGTGTGAGTGCACCCATACATTGTGTAACGAGCGATCACATGCTAAAACAAAGATTGAGTTATTTGTGTATATTTTCTTTACATTATTTAAAACAGGGTTCATGGACAGGGGAGGTAGCCACGCTCAGACAATGGGAAGGGGAGGTAACTACACATTGGACAGGGGAGGTAGCCTCACACAATGGGCAGGAGAGGTAGCCACACACAGACAATGGACAGGGGAAGTAATGAGTGCTACGACTACAGAAACCACGTCATCTGTAGTATAAGTGGCGCGTGGAAGTGTCGGACGTCAAAGTGTCGGACGTCAATGTATCGGACGTCAAAGTGTCGGACGTCAAAGTGTCAAACGTGGACTCTACTTCAATCGAAGATGTTGACATTCAGCGCCCCTTGTTTACATACGACTCTAGACCCACGCCGCTGTCTTTGACCGCGCTGGTTGAAAGGTCACGTCTCTTGTACTAAGGTCACGTGACGTACATGGCGAAATGGGTTAATGATGTCGTATAATTATGCACCAATTAAAAAACATGATAATATGAAAAGCTTAACTTGCCCTTTAATGATATTCAGCTAGTTCTAAGACATACTAGAAGCAGTAATTAGACGGATTGGCCTTTGCGATATGTAGAGTAAAATCACGGATGAAATATTTTGTATAAATTTATGTGAGAGAAACGACAAGTGTGTGTCATGTTTGGGTTAGATAATGTTAACCGTGACGCCGATTTTAAGTACCAACTGCGTCATTGGAGTCGGATTCAACAGTTATACTTATTTGTGAACTTGACCTTGCAAGTGAAGAAGGGAACGAGGCGGTGTTTGACTATTAGGGGAAACGACTCCACTTAAGTTCTATAGGAGTTGCCTCGCTTTGTTGGCTGTGGCACTTAGTGGCTGTTGTATAACGAGGTGGTAAAATCTTGTTACACATACAGTGTGGTACAAGTGGTTGATGTTACGGTACAAGTGGTTGATGTTACGGTACAAGTGGTTGATGTTACGGTACAAGTGGTTGATGTTACGGTACAAGTGGTTGATGTTACGGTGCAGCACTCTATATGATGGCCGGTACAGTACTCTATGATATGGCCTGTACAGTACTCTATCAGATGGCCGGTACAGTACTCTATGAGATGGCCGGAACAGTACTCTAAGAGATGACCGGTACACTATTAGATTGCCGGTACACTATTAGATTGCCGGTACAGTACTCTATCAGATGGCAGGTACAGTACTCTATGAGATGGCCGGTACAGTACTCTATGAGATGTGTGGCCGGAACAGTACTCTAAGAGATGACCGGTACACTATTAGATTGCCGGTACACTATTAGATTGCCGGTACAGTACTCTATCAGATGGCAGGTACAGTAGTCTATCAGATGGCCGGTACAGTGCTCTATGAGATGGCCGGTACACTAGGGTACTCAAATGATAAGTACATCTGCACAGCACAACTTTACTAGTGATCCTTTAAGCTGCGTGGCCGTGCGTTAATTGTACAATTGTCTTGAAGATATCCGATACAGCGAAATATTTTAATAGAAAGTTCTAAATTAAGACAATAATTAATGAGTAACAATTAGAACAATAAGGCTTTGAATGGGAAAATATTGAATGCAAACACACATAAGCTGTTGCGCGATTTGAAAAAAAGAAAAGCGAAAAATGTATTATTCAGAGAGTTTTAGCTTATCGTAAAGAGGAAAATCGAACGTGTCATTACCACTTTCAGAAGCAAAACATAGGCTAGCTGATGTTTTAAAATGGAAACCTGAAATACAATCTCTATAGCGGGACGCCTCTAGGATTACATTTCAATTTCAGCCTAGGGTCGAGTTTCTGTTGTGTTGGAGCTAAAGCCTAGGTCTATGTCAGACACAAGTCACGTGATATGACGACACGGTACTGTGACAGACACGAAATTCTGACATATTGACACACTGACACGTCAGTGGTAGACTGACACACTGACACAATAATGACAAACGGACAAATACGTCACGGGTAGGCTGACACACTGACACAAGACTGACACATGTCAGTGGTAGACTGACACACTGACACAAGACTGACAAACGGACAAATACGTCACGGGTAGGCTGACATACTGACACAAGACTGACACATGTCAGTGGTAGACTGACATACTGACACAAGACTGACACACCTGGCAAGACACAGTTGGGTCTGACTGACACATGTCACTCAGTTAGGCGTGTGTCAACATGACCAGTGGCACCAAGTCATCCCCGTCCCACGGGACGAGTACACAGATCCCCACCCCGGGGGTCGATACGGCACCAACCGCCTGACAGCCTGTGTTTCAACAACTGATCACGTGGTCAGTGGAGAAATTGTCGGACACTGATAACAGTAAACACTGACAATGTCATCGCTACTGACACAACCCTGACAACATGATTAACCTACATGGTCAGTGTCACACATGTCAGAGCAACCAACTTCGTACTGACAATGTCAGTGTTACGTAACTCTGTTAGCGCCAACAGCCGATAGTATCTGTGTCACTAGCGTATGTCAGTGTCACATACGCTAGCAAGTGTCATGACATTAAGCAAAGCAGTGCCATAGGCTGGTGTCACGAGCTGAGCTATCAGTCAACACAACGTTTCTTTATACGCATTCATATATCACTTCATTCACTTCATTCAGTTTATTCACTTCATTCACTTTGTACGTTACAAAATTATCTATTTCGTGTACGTTGGTATGCAATAGCCAACAAAGCGTCTTTTTACTCGCATTTTCATGTGAAAACGCTTTTAATGAAAAAAAAAAAAAAAAATTTAAAAGAATTGAAAGACCGAAGATTCAGCCGAATATAAAATGCGGAAAATAAAACTTCACTGTTGTTTATTGATTTGTCTAAATCTGTCAATATTGTATACGTTTATAGGTAGCAGATGCAGTCAACGATAAAATCAGAGAGGGAGGGAGGGGGGAGGGGGAGTTCAAGGTCACAATATTCCCGTTAACTACAATTCACGTCGACAGATGTTAGAGTTTGTCAAGCGCAATAACGCTCCACCCCTACGGTAAAACATCAACACAACACCGATTTATGTAAACAAACAACAGGGACTAAATATAAACAAAAAAACTCAAACCTTCGATAAAACAAACAAAATATTTATCCAATTAGCTTTAGCAAGTGGGAAAAGAATCACAATAGTCCGATCCTGCTGTAGTTTTATCCACACGATCTCCCATTGTCCCTGTCCCCACGAGTTGTCCTGCCGGCCTTACAACTTGACTGCAAGTACTGCTACAGCCAACAGCGCGACGGTTATAATCCGCCACCGTGGGGTGTGGGGGGCGGGCGGTGAGGACCGCTAAGCCAGCCATCGAGGCGCGCGCCTTGCTACGGCGGTTCGCCCACTGCGCGGTGCACTATGGGTATTCTGCGTGAGCACTTATAGAATCCGTAGCTAAATCTCCAGACGTGAAGCTTCAGAACGTAAAGGACAGTGAGGAATTGAACGATTGCACCGCTATACGGCTTAACTCTTGGCGCTTATAGATGGAAACCGAATTTCTTTTACAATCTTGTGTTTGCTGGTGTTTCTGAAAGTAACATTATTTAATCAGTTCAACGCTTTTTGTAAATTAAATTGAAATTTCAATTTGAGACAACTTTTACCTCGAAAATTATTTTGGTTTATTTGCACAAATCTATAACGTTTACGGTTTAAGTTGAATAAATTTATAAACTTGACAAAAACCACTTGAATGAAACTTCTAATATTATTTCTCGTCTAGGTTGGAGATATACTATTTTTAGTAAGACCAAATTCGAACACACGTCCATTCTATTTCATTAAACATTTTAGAAACTCGCAAATCAACGAATGCTCTGTATATTTTATAGTTTCGCTACATTCAGATGTAATGACAGTGGTCCATTTTTTTTTACTCACTGTGGCTCATGGGCCGCAGGTTGCCTATCACAGAAGCAGGTAAACAACCCCCCCCCCACCCTAATGATTAGCCGTCATTACATGTGTGTGTACATGTAGGCTAACGAGACCCGGGTATCACGTGATGAACACAATACCACCAGCCGCCCCATTCATCAAGGCCAAACAATGTCACCTGACTGCACTTGACCAATGGGCTGTGATGAGGGGATCAAACCCCCGCCGTCTCTGATCACTTTCTCGGCATGTTTGACGAGAAAATGGCTGGAGCTGTTAGACATACACGGGCAGACGTCTGGCGTAAACATGGCCGACAATCATGCGCATGCGCCCTGGGGAGTATACAAATAGAACAGGCAAACAAAGAGGTCGCCAGGCATGTTGAGCAGGTTGATACAGGTTATGGTGATACAGGCAGGTTGATACAGGCAGGGTGATACAGGCAGGGTGATACAGGTTATGGTGATACAGGCCAGGTTGATACAGGTTATGGTGATACAGGCAGGTTGGTACAGGTTATATGGATACAGGCAGGGTGATACAGGTTATGGTGATACAGGCAGGTTGATACAGGCAGGGTGATACAGGTTATGGTGATACAGGCAGGGTGATACAGGTTATGGTGATACAGGCAGGTTTATACAGGTTATGGTGATACAGGTTATGGTGATACAGCAAGGTTGATACAGGTTATGGTGATACAGGTTATGGTGATACAGGTTATGGTGATACAGGCAGGGTGATACAGGTTATGGTGATACATGCAGGGTGATACAGGTTATGGTGATACAGGCAGGTTGATACAGGTTATGGTGATACAGGCAGGGTGATACAGGTTATGGTGATACAGGCAGGGTGATACATGTTATGGTGATACAGGCAGGTTGATACAGGTTATGGTGATACAGGCAGGGTGATACAGGTTATGGTGATACAGGCAGGGTGATACAGGTTATGGTGATACAGGCAGGGTGATACAGGTTATGGTGATACAGGCAGGGTGATACAGGTTATGGTGATACAGGCAGGTTGATACAGGTTATGGTGATACAGGCAGGGTGATACAGGTTATGGTGATACAGGCAGGGTGATACATGTTATGGTGATACAGGCAGGGTGATACAGGTTATGGTGATACAGGCAGGTTGATACAGGTTATGGTGATACAGGCAGGGTGATACATGTTATGGTGATACAGGCAGGGTGATACAGGTTATGGTGATACAGGCAGGTTGATACAGGTTATGGTGATACAGGCAGGGTGATACAGGTTATGGTGATACAGGCAGGTTGATACAGGTTATGGTGATACAGGCAGGGTGATACAGGTTATGGTGATACATGTTATGGTGATACAGGCAGGTTGATACAGGTTATGTTGATACATGTTATGGTGATACAGGCAGGTTGATACAGGTTATGGTGATACAGGCAGGGTGATACAGGTTATGGTGATACAGGCAGGTTGATACAGGTTATGGTGATACAGGCAGGGTGATACAGGTTATGGTGATACAGGCAGGGTGATACAGGTTATGGTGATACAGGCAGGGTGATACAGGTTATGGTGATACAGGCAGGGTGATACAGGTTATGGTGATACAGGCAGGTTGATACAGGTTATGGTGATACAGGCAGGGTGATACAGGTTATGGTGATACAGGCAGGGTGATACAGGTTATGGTGATACAGGCATGGTGATAAAGGTTATGGTGATACAGGCAGGTTGATACAGGTTATGGTGATACAGGCAGGGTGATACAGGTTATGGTGATACAGGCAGGTTGATACAGGTTATGGTGATACAGGCAGGGTGATACAGGTTATGGTGATACAGGCAGGGTGATACAGGTTATTGTGATACATGTTATGGTGATACATGTTATGGTGATACAGGCAGGTTGATACAGGTTATGGTGATACAGGCAGGGTGATACACGTTATAGTGATACAGTTTATGGTGATACAGGTTATGGTGATACAGGCCAGGGTGATACAGGCCAGGGTGATACAGGCCAGGGTGATACAGGGCAGGTGATATAGGCCAGGGTGATACAGGGCAGGTGATACAGGCCAGGGTGATACAGGCCAGGGTGATACAGGCCAGGGTGATACAGGGCAGGTGATATAGGCCAGGGTGATACAGGCCAGGGTGATACAGACTGATGAGATAGAGATTATGGTAGTACAGGCTAGGGTGAGACAGAGTATGATGATTCAGAACTTTTTAAAGAGATTTAAAGCAGGTTGATTCGGACCCCTGTATGAAGCAGGTTATATAGACACATGTCTAAAGCAGGTTAATATAGACACAAGTCTAAAGCAGGTTGATAGAGGCCAGTAATTAACATGTTATGGAGACAAGTGTCCACTCAACTATGACGTCATACAAGACGTTACACAAATCACGTGGTACGAGTGTTTACGTTTTCCTCCGATAGATCGATCCTTGTTTATGTTTGTGCAAGCGCTCAAGCGAAAACAAACTTGAGACGTACAGGAAATTGGGCGTTTTATAAACACAAACATGGCTGCTCTTTTCAACGTGTACATAGATCAATAGCGAGCAGTCATATCGTGTTATATATAGTGACAAGTCATATCGTGTTTTATATAGCGACAAGTCATATCGTGTTATAATTTCCTACTGTGAGCTTGAAGTAAGAAGCTTCACCTGCTCGGTGTGTGTAAGGCAACCATTAGTTTATGATTGTTTATGGTGATTGGTGACTTTAGGCTAAACCTAAATGTGTTTACCTCAATTGGTGACTTTAGGGTAAACCTCAAATGTGTTTACCTCGATTGGTGACTTTAGGGTAAACCTAAAATGGTTTAACCTCAACTGATTGGTGACTTTAGGGTAGACCTAAAATGGTTTAACCTCAACTGATTGGTGACTTTAGGGTAGACCTAAAATGGTTTAACCTCAACTGATTGGTGACTTTAGGGTAGACCTAAAATGGTTTAACCTCAACTGATTGGTGACTTTAGGGTAGACCTAAAATGGTTTAACCTCAACTGATTGGTGACTTTAGGGTAGACCTAAAATGTGTTTACCTAAACTGATTGATATCTAGGTGAGAAGATGTCAAGTGCAGATAAATGTAGGTGTAAATTTCTTAATTAGGACATGACCTCAATAGTAACATTCTTATTTGATTACATCTTGGAGAGATCTTAAATGTGTAGTAGTGAGGTTTGATATTTTGAATGAAGTTTCAGGTAAAGACTACAATCAAACACGATATTATTAAACAAAAACTAAACAAAAATCTTTAAACAGACTTGCAGACAAGACACATGTGCAGACAAGCAATCAGAAAATACACCATGTGCAGACTAGCAATCAGAAAATACACCATGTGCAGACAAGCAATCACAAAATACACCATGTGCAGACAAGCAATCAGAAAATACACAATGTGCAGATAAGCAATCAGAAAATACACCATGTGCAGACAAGCAGTCAGAAAATACACCATGTGCAGACAGGCAATCAGAAAATACACCATGTGCAGACAAGCAATCAGAAAATACACCATGTGCAGACAAGCACTCAGACAAGACACTTCCAGACAATCTTCATATTTAAGCCCAACATGAATACATGGCTTGTTTCATAACATTATTCTCTCCCCCCCACCCCCCCCCCCCCTGGGCCGTCTGTTAAAAGAGAAAGGAAAACGCTTCCAGAAATCTCATTCCCCCACAGCAGGAGTTAGGCGGGTCCTGGACGTCAAAGCTCTTTGTCCAACCGTTGTCACTCGCGAGAGGGCGCTTCCAGCTATAAATCAACAATTCCAGGAAAACTCCCTCAAATGTTAATTGGGTCACAATGGAGGGTCATTAACCTTTAGCCCATGTCCAATCAAAGAAATGTACCACAATAGGGGCAGGCGTTAATTAAAAGAACAACTTGTCCTTACTGAAGCTGACGCCAATTAGTGTAATCATTACGTTAGAATTGTAATTACAAAAGTCAATTGCATGTTTACGCCAAACTCAAGTGAAAACGGTATTTGACTCAGCCACAGAAAAAGCTGAAGTCTATTGTGGTAGCCAGCAACACAAATTAGTGAGTGATCTTACCACAGCGATGAAAGGAATTCACCGCTATTTAGCACTTGTATATAAATGCTCATCTTTATGTTCGAATAAATGTATGAAGTCGAATTGTAAGAACATGCATGCAATTTACTTAATGTCTTATTAAACATCAAGCTAATTATTTAATTAAATAATTGTTCATTTGCAATTTTGTAAAAATATTTTTATTTTCTGTTGCTGACGTTGTTCTAACGAAATGACTTTACGCCGCACAATCCAGTCCTTCCCCAAACGCGCT